TTATTTTATTAGAGGTACCCTTATTTGTATTTACGAGTGTTTGAAACTCGGATAGGGAGTGAGAAGCGCGCATAATTAAAATAGGTTATTTGAAGCTTAATTCAGTCTTAATTGCACAACTATCGTATTAAGGGCGATAGTACGAGCTAAGCCTGGTAACATCCCCCGGTCGGCGAGCGAAAAAATAAACCGCTCTCCCAAAACCTCCATTTAATTCCCGACCGTAACACTAGTCGTGTTGGAACGCGAAACGTTTTAAACGGGTCGGTGAGTATCTCAAGTGAAAGCAAATTAACAGTTTTAACAATAACATATTTATTGTTCGAAGCATAAAAGGAATAACTGCCAGTATCACAGAAAAATCTTGCTAAAACTTTTGTAGGGAAAAATAGTAAACAATATGTCTGTTGCATATGCGGACTCAACTAACATGGCATGGTTGTACGTAGGCTTTCGTCGTCGAAGACTAGCTTTCGTTTAAGCTGTATATAATATACGTTAACGATGAAAAAAGTTTGAGACGACCATAAACAATTATGCAAAATTACCCTTTTTATTTTCGACTTATTATGATCAATTTCGTCTAACAACGGTAATGCTTGTGATATGCTACATCGACGTGCAGCATCCCTTGATGGCAATATGTTAGTCGATTATCTTTACTAATATAGTAAAGGAAAAGCTAATTTACCGTGTAAGATTTGTATTAGCTTCAGTAGCTTCCATGAGGCAGTCAATGTTATTCGAATATATGTCCGTTGTAGAGACATTGTTGTGAGCTGCTTCAATTTAATATATATTATTAAGTCAAGGCACTTACGATTGCCTCTGGCTGAATATTATTATATCGTGATTGGCTAAAGAGTTCAATCAAACTTACCAGCTAGCGGCATTGTGCATTCGAGAAGCTCATCTTTTACCTTGCGTTGTCGGACATATTGAGAAAATACAGATTGTTCGCTGACTTTTTCACAGATGGTAGCCTGAAAATTCGTTGATTGTAACTTCTCCAACAACTGTTTGGTAGATTTGGTAAATAACTTTACATACAAGGATCGAACTAGAGAGCTATATCTAGTAATAGGACGGGAGCAAGACTTGCTTACCGTTTCCAGCAAATGACGGTTCTTCGTCGATTCTGTAATAATCTCTTGTAAAGGCGCGTTTTTTATGGCTACGATTTCTCTATACAGCTTTTGGTAATGTCCACTTGCTATTTTCTCCAAGCACTCTTGCAATTTCACAACAACATCGGCCATAATATCATCCTGCAGTATATCTTTCAGTTGCTCCTTTGTCATATCAGCTATAAAATGTTCTGTTGTTATTATTTTATTTTTTAAATTAAATAACAAATCACGTCAACACACTTGCGCAGGCTAAATGCTTCTTTGTGCGAATAATCTTGTATGATTGAATTACGCGTACCGTTTGGTTTATACATCATTGTACAGAGCTGTCTTTTAGCGCCTACATCGGCATTACTACCACTTTTACAGCTTTTACAGTCGTTAACCTTTACATCTATCCGCTCCAATAAGCCCACTATGCGGTCTAGTTTTTTCGAGAGTGTTGTGAAGGGCCTTTCAACGGAGGTTACCAACTCACGTTTAAAACAATTAGTCGTTCGTTCCTCGGGGTCACATACAACGGCGGTGTTAGTACTATCAGAAAATACGCTCGGGTTCTTGTTTCTGTTATGCACATCCACAAATCGAGGCCGTGCCATGTAAGAAGTTAAGAAGTTTGGAAACATGGATTCTGTTGTTTCCACAGACTGATAGCCTCATAGATTAAATAGATAGTTTCAAAAAACGCATAATAATACTTAAAGCGAGAACGATGCACTTACATTGGCAGATTTGAGTACATTTGAATAAGTTGAGAGCGTGTGAAACTGTTCGTGGTTGAGATTATCTGCGAGACTGCACACATTACTCTTATGCTTATTATTGTTTATTTTAGCGTAACTGGTTTGTTGTTTGTTTACTTGTGTTGATATAGTAGAAGGCACTTGACTTGTCTGTGAATTGCAATTGTTTGTGGTCGTGGCATTGTTTGTGGTCGAAGGGCGGCTTGGAGAGAACCATGTAGACATTATTTTTATGAAAAAATAAGGTGCTTTGTTTAAGAGGTGGCGGCAATTAAGTTGAGAGAAATAACGACGTCATTATACAAAAGATTACGATATATCAGCGAAATCTTTAGTCCGTATTTCCCGATTCCGCTTTTTCTAACCCACCCAGGTGCTATACAGCATGATGTGAATTTCAGAAAATCTGTCACGCGTGACCGTATATATGCATAACGAAAGGGTAGAGTGTAGGCATATAACGAACATGGTTTCGACATTCTAGTGACTGCACTAATCGTATGAACCAAAACTGTCTTTATTGTTTAAGTCTGTCTGTTCCGTTGGTTATATACCGAATGATATACTGACAAGTATGATAGGCAACTATCAACGAAGTATCGAGTTCATCATAAACCTCTTGACAACTAGCTGTTAGCGAAGTGAAATTGTCAAAGCAGTTTATTAACAAAATATAATACAGATTATCCATATAGCCTCAATGCAAACCATCAGGGCATAATTTCAAAGCTGCCAAATTTACCAGACATCTTCCCGTTCGAGTATTTTGGTGACGTGCATATCAGGAATTTTTTGGTTACAAGTATTCTTACCATCATACTCGCGTTGATTGTATGAATTATGATGGGGCTATTCCAATGTTCGGTTATCTTTCAAATGTTGAGTTGTTAATCCGCGCAAACTCTTGTGATTTCATTACATACTAACTTTATTTTACTAAGTAAACCAGAATAGCTTCTAAGTAAAGTTATTTGCAGCATTAACGTGCATGTACTGTATCTTACACCTTTTATGAAGGGGGGTTCGACATTGAGTCAAATATAGTCATGTAGTATCTGTGATGTAGTGCAAAACCAGGAAAGTGTAGAAAATACTGCTGCTGATTTTATCTATTGCATGTAGGCACAGTACGATATCTGGACGGCTGGAAAAGTCTCCGACCACCCCCCGTATTTGCATAATGAATTATGTGATTGCGCTGAGATTAATATGTAAGCGATGAAAAACAAAGATTACTGAAATTACTGATTGAGCGAAAGTTAATGACACATTAATGATATAATTGACTTGTTAAGTCGAGAATTCACTTGTGATGTTTGTGGGAAACTCGTCGCGACCTTTATTTTCCTTGAAAATTAGACGGGAAACCCTTTTGTAAAGAGGTTTATAACAAAAAAAATAATAAAACGACAATTCTCATTCTCCCGATTATTATGAGGACCCTTATAAGGAAGAAAAAGAAATTTGTGAAAAGTGTTATAAAACGATTTGGGGAAAATTTATGTGCTGGCTGCCAAAAATAAAAGGACAACCAGGAATTAAAAGATGAATAAAGTTAGCGCACCCGTAACCAACATATCTACAAAAATTGCAATATGTCTCTCGTGTTTACAAACTCACTTGAAACCTACTTTACTTAACTAACAATAATTGGTTTACACAACCTAAAATTAATCCGCGTATAATAATAAATTATACCAAAATTTATATTAATATTATTCGAAAGCGTATTGACCACAAAAAATTTAATTAGAATATCTTGCTTTGTTGACGGGAAAATAATCTTAAAGCTTATTTACGCGTTTAATATGCTCCGAAATTACGAGTACACAGTAAAGTCCGCTTTAACGAAGAGCTCCGTTCCGCCAAAAAACTTCGTTAATGTGGACTGTTCGTTATAACGAACTTTTATAATCACGTGATATTCGTTAAAGTGGGATTTATTCGTTTACTTCTGTACTGACATATTTCCTTCTTCATAACAATTGTAAGGTTTGTACGTAGTTTCTTGATCCGGAACAATATTTATCTTTAACTCGGGGACGTTTTTTGGAAGAAGATTCTATACCTAACAACGGTGAGGCTTGTTCCTCACAATCACTTGCAACCTGAATGGGCAAAGAATTAGACATCTTTATTGCATGCAGTGTATTGTTTAAATCTCTATATACAGTACAGTAATACTACACAGTGAAATTCACTTTAATGAAGATCGCTTTATAGCGAAGTTTTTTCCAGAACGGATCCATACATTTCATATAAAAGACAGCTCACTTAAGGTTAACAAAGCAAAATCGTGGAGCGAATGTCTTCGTTGAAGTGAATTTCACTGTGTATAACGAACCCCAAACATGGACTTTAAAAGGGTGTTTACCATAGGTTGGGCGGGCTTTTTTCACGAAACCATCAACATCATATTGCGAAACATCTGGAGAGTTGTTTCATCCGAAAAAACTCTCGTGATTACGTGTCCATAATAAGCAATTAGTCTTCACTTGTTGTGTCAATAAAGAAACTTTTATTCACAACGAGGTGCTCGCTAAAGCCCAGAGCAAATTTAACAAAGGATGATAATAATGTTTACTGTTTACACAGGCAAACTCGATAAGTCGGTCTCTCGATGATTCAATTTTGGCCTAAGAAGGCCAAAACTTCCCAAGCCCTTTTCTCAGTTTTAATATTTAAAATCTCTCGATAAGTCGGTTCTCTCGATAAGTCGGTCCATCATACATGACCGACTTATCGAGTATTTGTTTATCTTTTATTTTTGTAACCTCAATTAACCGATTTGCTAACAAAACTAGTCTATATTGGGCGATTTGACAGTGCTACGCGTATTTGAATAATTCAGCCATTATTTTCGCCGGGGACTACGTATTTGGCATTTCTAAACGTGAAAGACCTTCCGAGTTCGGAGTTTTTACTCAAGTTTGTGTAAAATGTTTGCTCGCGAACGTGTACTACACCGTAATTTCGTTTTTATTAGTTTGAACTGGTTAAGATACACATGCTCTACTGAGGCGGATAGAACATTTGTTTTGCGTTGCCTAGATAATTTGAGAAAGTGTAACGATGAAGAATCGGATTTTGATTAACCAGTGACAGTGACTGGAATGCAACAATTTATTGCAATACAACGAATATCCAAGTATGCCTCAGTTACATTTAAACAGTAACTGCAATTACAATAATGGGTAACCCTACAATAATTACATAATATTTTAAAAAGAATTTTACTGGTTTATTATTATGTGATGTATTCAAATCTAAAATAAATTTTCATAGCTGCAAAATTTGTATAAAAGAATATGGTTTGATTGCTTGCACTATGTCTTATCAGCGCCCACAAAGCAAACAGCTACGGATGCAATTGTTAAGATTTGTGTATGAAATGACGTATGGCAAACGTATTGTTATTATTATGTTTAACTAAATGTTAATATGAATTAGAATTCAGTAGTAATACTAATACTGGCCATTTATGCTTAACCAAATCAATACAACAAGAAGAAAAATCTTATGTCTGCAACAAATGTTTCACCCGACATTTGAAATTTGCAAGAATATGGCGTGTTCAGAGAAATTATCTAATTTCTATAGTGTACCGTCAAACAGTTTGGCTACCAAACAAATAGACCGTCCCCGACTTTTTTTCTCGCGGTCCTAATGATGATTACAGATTGATATTTATCTAGCTGCTGTAAAAAAACATACATACAACGTTAGCAATTATGATCGATATACGTATCATTTAAAATGTTAAATTCAATTATTATTGTTCACATATTTTATTGTGCAATTCGTCTGGGTAAATGCGGTTGCAATAAATTTACTGCATGTTTGAGTTTTTGATAATTACAGAGAGTGAAAAAAATACGTATATTTCGATACTGTATTTGAATTTTATATCTCAACATCTTATTTCTTGTCGTTTGATTTACGGGATTCTCTAATTCTGCGGTGGGACGTGCTCCTTTTTTGGGGGGGTGCTAGACAGGTTTTCTAAATTTGCTCAGGGGTCAGAATTTTTACCAGAGAGTTTAGAAAAAATTTATTGCGATAATGCTCAGGGTGATAAGGCTGGATGCGAAGCAACTATCCCTATTACTAAAAATAAAATTATTCCCCCTCCGATTAGTCAAGGGGTTCAGTTGGTTTTATTAGGTTCTTGTGATTGCTGTTTTTCCTGTAATGCAGAAAATGAATTTACGTTTACGGTGGAAACGTTTCCTTTAGGATGGTAGTAAAGTCCTTCGCCGTTTTGGTATTCGTAACGTAGCAAATCCAATGTCGCTGCTTCCTGCACTTTTTCTACAGAAAATTTCACCTTCCGTATTATCCAAAACGGGCTTCTGGTTACTAAGTTAGCAGTCTTAAAATTCCAATAATTAGTTATCTGCTAACCATAGACATATAAGTATTCTATACTAATTACCTTCGGAGAAAAAAATAAGACGGTAGCAATCCGTGCATCCCAAATTGATTTGGTAACAATATCAACAGCTACAACAGTTGCAAGAGCAACAACAACAATAGCAACCACAAACATGAGAATAATAATAATAATTTTATGTTGCCTAGATATTCGTGAAGATATTAATCGATAAGTAGTAAAATCATCCAACAACATCGATGATATGATGTTAAAGATCTAATTTCATCGATCCACCATTTTGTTGTCAATTGAGGTAGGGGATACTAAGATAATGAAGTCATCAACCAATTCTGGGATTGTGTGAGGATATTATAATTAAGGCAACAAGATGGATTAGATATTTGGCACATGGAAGTTGCAGCTATCAACTACCTCATGTTTAAATCCTGGCAAGAAAGCTTCAGCAGTCATACCATGCTTGGGATGGAAGTAAATTCCATTTTTCTCGTCAATCATAAAAAATACGGCCAATTCTGAACTCTCTTTCTTATAATTATTATATTGATATTTCGTAGCCGTCCGTAACCAATAATATCTATTACTATATTTCGTAGGCAGGAGTTGCTCAGTTGTTTTTATTAATTCAACAAATAAGATAAAGAAGTCAAATTCTTCTTCGCTCTAATTATTTGACTTAAAACTTACAATATCGTCTCTTCAGAATTTATCTAATCTTTGAATTACCTTTCGAGTTGTTTGGTGTGCTGTTCGTCAGAATACCAACGTTGCGAATGAAGAATGTAAGTTGTGCTTTTCGCTTATTGGCTAAATCAAATGATTTCACGTGAGATGCAAAAGATTCCCTATAGGAAGTAATTATAGATCGGGAAGTTTAAATATATACTTTTGATGTAAATATCAGAATGCATCCAATGCATACAAGATTTAGTTACTTGCCTATTGAGAACTGGTTTTTGTTTGTGTGAGATAGACGAGAGAAAATTTTTCAGCTTACCGATGTCTCTTGGGAAAGCAGATATACATTAGTAGTCATATAACAGATTTTATTAACCAACATATCGATATGCTCTATCAGAATTCATCATTTCGTCCGGCCGCAGCGTGGTCAATCCACATTTTGCTAATAGCAACATTCTATCCCGTATGAAGAAAACTCTTGGTACGGAATCTGAGAATGCTAACTACACGTTCGGGACCAGTTCATCAAGCAAACGTAGAGGACTTAAAGCAATAAGGAGTTCCCATAAACGCATGCTCATCAGAATTATATCATTTCGCCCGGCCGTTAGTCATCACATTTTGCCGGCTATACACTGGTGCGGAATCTGAGAATGCTAACTATTGTTCGGGACCAATTCATCTTCAGTAGCAATAGTATATAAAATCGTCAGAAACAAACCTGGAATAGTTCCTCCGTAAGAGCTTTCTCAACCCTCGAACTCACGATAACAAACCGCTTTATTTAAGAGAAAATTTGTCCGGTACCGTATTAATATTTTTCACTGCTAATATGCCCATACTTCCGAACCAGAATTAATACCTGGGGCGGCATGACTTTGGTGAAGATACTGTTTTACTACTCTCCGAACGCTTATTGTTATTTGGGACTGCGTTAAATATCAATGACCTATTGACTAGTAAAACGTTTCTCAGTATTAACAGAGACTTCACAAACTTCGTGACAACGTCAGTATTTGATTCCTGGACAGGAATCTCAGACTCAGTGAGATGGTAATACCAATGTACATCCCATGCATCTCGAGTACACCTTTAGCGTTCAATCGTAGGTGTAAACAAATAAAGAACGCAAAATTCCATGCATCTCGAACAAGTGCGGTAATGCTTAAATTTTTTTTCTATACAAATTGACCCTTTTGTGGCTTGCATGACTTACGCAGCCAATATGCTGTCTTTTCCTGCCTAACTTCAACCATTATGTCTGGCTTTCTCCCACGCTTTCCGCCTTTTCTGTCAGCACTGGCGCAGCTTTGCCGTTCCCCGCAACTAATGATGAATGGCGTACCTTTTAAGGCAGCCTGAATAGCTGGCATTATTACTGTTGACATGTATGTTCCTTCGTTTAAAGAACCTTCAAACTCATGTCGCAGCACGGGATTGTTCCAACAGTTCGTCCTAACAAAAATACCGTATTTCACCGACACGAGTACCCCGGGTATTCCCCTTGTTCGTTTTAGTACCCGGGGTACTCGTGTGGGGGGG